GTAGCCGTAGCAGTAGTAGTAGTAGTAGTAGTAGTAGTAGTAGTAGTAGCAGTACTAGCAGTAGTGCTGCATGTAGCAATCTTTGTAGACATAAGTAACCGCAGCATTTCTATAAATGGTTTTCGCCGTTGTTTTCCTTGTCCTGCTCGGCGTTGGCATGGTCGTCCTCGTTGTGGCCGTCGTGGTCGTCGCCATCGCCATCGCTGTAGTCGCGTCGTTGTCGTCGTCTCTGGCGATATCACGCAGTGGAAGGTGGCCGGATTCGGACACCTGAGCCAGATCAGCGTCATCATCATCCTCATTACATCATCACCCTTGGCGCCAATATCAAGCAAACATTGCCATTACCTTGCCCTCGTCGTCCTTACCGTCGTCACCATGCTCCCCACTAATTAGCATCATTACCTTTAGCATCTTAGCGTCGTGCGCTCTGAAAGAAGCAAGCTGCATGCCGTGAAACACAGGTCCAGGTACGAGCACCCACACAGAGACACTAAGTAACATTGTAGCAGCATCCGATAGGTGAACTGTTGAATGCGAGCTTCAGGAGGCCACGATCACAGCTAATGGATGGTGCAGGAATCAGGGATCGGGATTCTGATTCCAAGGCATGCACCTACTCGATGCCAGCGACAGTTGTTGGCACCCGAAAGGGGCCTGAGGCCACGCAGAGAGCATGCAAGGATTGAGTTCGTAGGATTTGGGTTCTAGCCTTGTTCATGCAGTCTCCCCGCCGCGGCGTCCTTTTTGTGAAGCGCCTGTGTATCAATCAAGCATGCTCAGGATGTGTTTATGTGGCACATGTGCGACCATAGAATCTGCCAGCCGTGATCTGATCTCTGCACATGTCATGCCTGAAACCCGAAGCTGAAGCCGATATCGGTCGTCATATGAACCCTAAACCCTAAACCCTAAACCCTAAACCCTAAACCCTAAACCCTAAACCCTAAACCCATACTGTGTTGAAGCAAACCAGCGCAGATTCGATCCGGTCCTTTCTGAGCCACTTCGTATTAATTTATTTCAAACAAAGAACGCATCTGTGTTTACCAAGAGCGATACTACCATATCGCCTCAATGCCTTAACATGCTTGGAAGAAGGCTTGCTTTACTCGAAAAACACGGGCCTGTATTCCGACGCACCCTCCAGAAAGCGTCGCACTGCAGGCCCGTGTTTTGAAGCTTTCTTTTTCTCCATACTATAGAACGCGTGCAAAAAATAGCAATAGTTGCAATAGGCATTGGCAAGAATGATACTACTGGGGCTTCAGGACGTGAGAGGGATTCGGGGTTCCTTAGAGGGGCTTCTTCTGCCAAACTCGCTCAGTGGCTCTTCTGTTTGAACGGCTTAGATGCTGCAACCCCACATGGACTCCAAACTCTCTGCGACAGTAGGGCTATTAAATACAGTACTTGTATCTACCAAGGTGTGCAGCACTTCCTGATTCCTGCTGGTACTGCTGCCAACAGAACAACTAGTCATTGCGACACGCCTATTACCCTGACGGCACTACGATTTCGGCTATTGCTGCTGTGACGAGGATCGCGGCAATGTACACGACGGCGAAGACTATTGATACTGTTACTGCTGGGGTACTGTGTGGGTAGCACAATCACCCCCGGCAATGTCTTCAGTGATCCAGCGGTGACGTAAGAAGTTTCTACGGAAAAGTAACAATACAGATAATACTCAGAATACTTGTCACACTAGTAATACGAGTTCTACCAATACTAGTAATAATGATAGCCTTACGAGTAGTAGAAGCAGAGCAGTAGCAATGACAATAGCAACAGTCTTACTCATACTAATAACGCTCATAATAGCAGTAGAAGTATCCACCTAAACCCTAAACCCTAAACCCTAAACCCTAAACCCTAAACCTAAAACCAAAAAACCTTAAACCTCCAGTCTTGACAGAAATTTTAAGTCGTACAGGTCAGTAGCAGAGCCCCTGGACACGACAAGGAGTTTTCCTCCCGGAGCGATGAGCCTTTGGGGGCTTGGGCCCCAGAGATGCTTCAGTGTGTAGGGTCTTAGGATTTAGGGTTTAGGGATTAGGGTTTAGGGTGTCGGGTATTAGGATTTCGGGTTTAGGGTTTAGGTTTGGGGTTTAGGGATTAGGTTTGGGGTTTAGGGTAGGATTTAGGGTTTCGGGTTTAGGATTTAGCGTTTAGGGCTTAGGATTTAGGGTTTAGGGCGTAGGATTTAGGTTTAGGGTTTAGGGTTTAGGATTTAGGGTTTAGGGTTTAGGAGTGTGGGGTTCCCATGGCTTTGGATTCAGGTTTACCTACAGTCTCCATTGTAGTGCCTTTTATTGGCTACCTTATAGGATCCTAGCTTTCAAACAGTTTAACCAAAAACAGCTGCCACGGAGACTGTAGGTAGGTTTCCCTAAACCCTAAACCCAAAACCCTAAACCCTAAAAAGGGTTCCGGGTAGCTTTCGGGGCCTTCTCTCAGAAATCTGCGGAGAAGACTTTCTCCTGCCAGGAGCAACCTCGACCAGGGTGGTGGTCAAAATTATGGGCGGTTTAGGGTTTAGGGTTTAGGGTTTAGGGTTTAGGGTTCCTTTCTGGGTCCTTATTATAATACGGCACCTATTATTTAGGGTACCCCAAAAGGGACCCTAATTTTGACAACTACCCACCTGGCAACCAAACCAACTTCAAAAGCAAGATTGGTATCCTGTGCCCTGAGTTTCGCAGCCGCATGCCATCCATATTCCACAGCAGCACTGCCAGGCCTGTAATCTACTAGCAAAAACTTCTAAGTGTAGCAGCAGTCAGTTCTCCAGAGCTGTTACAGATCGTGGTCGTGCTCATAGTCGAGGCGAAAGCGGAGTTAAGCGATTCGCAGGAGCTGTCTTGAAGATTATCGTCATCTTTAGTCAGCTCCGTCCTATCTGTCGTTGTGTCATCATCACTGGCAGCGTAACAGCAGCCGCCGCAGCAATGCTAGCCTCAGTAGTTACCATGCGCGTACTAGTGGTCGCCACAGCAGCAGCAGCAGCCGCAGGAGGAGGGTAGGAGGAGGAGGAGGAGTGATCAGTATCAGTAGTAGTAGTAGTAGTAGTAGTAGTAGTAGTAGTAGTAGTAGTGGTAGTAGTGGTAGTAGTAGTAGTAGTAGTAGTAGTAGTAGTAGTGGCAGCAGAGTAGTGGCAGCAGCGGCAACAGCCGCAGCAGTAGTAGTTGTGGTAGAAGGCTACTGCCACGGCTACTGCTACTGCTACTGCTGCTTGTACTACCAGTCAAAGCTTCTAGATGGTTTAGGGTCAGGGATTGGGATTCTGATTTCGAGGCATGCACCTACTCGATGCCAGCGACGGTGGTCGGCACCCGAAAGGGGCCTGAGGCCACAGCAGAACATGCAAGGATTGAGTTCCTTCCCTGGCTTAGAGACTGCGCCAAGTCGATGGAGACAAAGATACTTCTGGATCCTACATCATCTTGTATGTGTTTCAAAGAAAACTCAGCAGATAGCCCTCATACTGGATCTTCGCCAGTTGCGGGTGTGTGTGTGTGTGGGTACGCATATGCATAAATCTCTCTCTCTCTCTCTCTCTGTGAGTGTGTGTAAAGGCGCATTCAGGGGATCGACCTGATACCGACAAAACTCTCTTGCGGTTGAAACTAGGGTTTAGGGTTTAGGGTTTAGGGTGTAGGGTTCTGGGACAGAAACCATTTTTCGTTTCGGGGCCTGCACGCTCAGCATCTGTCGCGCCAAGAGCCCTAAACCCTAAAACCCTAAACCCTAAACCCTAAAACCCTAAACCTGAAAAACCCTAAACCCTAAACCCTAAAACCCAAAGCCCTACACCCTAAACCTGAAAAACCCTAAACCCTAAAGCCCTAAACCCTAAACCTGAAAAACCCTAAACCCTAAAACCCTAAATCCTAAACCTGAAAAATCCTAAACCCTAAAACCCTAAACCCTAGAGCTGCAAAAAAAACCCTAAAACCTAAACCCCATGAACCCCTCGCGCAGGCTCCCCTGGCCATCGGCATGGGCACGCAGCGAAGTAGCTACAACGAGGCTGGGGGACTGGATCCTTCAGGGTTTAGGGTTTAGGGTTTAGGGTTTAGGGTTTAGGGTTGTGAACTGAGGGAAGCCTTCTTACGAATCCTGAAGCCAGCCCTCTGCCACAGGCACCTTTGGCCACGCAGCGAAGTTTCTACAACGAGGTCGGGAATTTCGAATCTCGATCTGCACCCTGTGTCTCGAGGTGATGCCTGCGCGTACGTCCTTAAGTCAGCCAGCTATTAGCCACTTTCGCAGGCTTCCATGGTCATGGGCACCCAACGGAGTAGCTATAACGAGGCTGGTATGCTCGATCTGCGCCATGTGAATTCAGCGATGTTCGCCGTGAATTGAGGGCAGCCGTGGCGCGAATCCTGAATCCCTCCTACCTCAGGCGCCCTTGGCCATCGGCATGGGTACGCAGCGAAGTAGCTACAACGAGGTTGGGATTCTGGATCTGCACCTTGTGTCTCGAGGGCCCTTACCCACTGCCGTAGGCTCCCATCATGGGCACCCAACGGAGTCGCTACAACGAGGCTGGGAGTCTCGATCTATTCCTTGTGAATTGAGCAAAGCACTTATTCCGAAGCCATCCCTCCACCACAGGCACCCTTGGCTATCGGCATGGGTACGCAACGAAGTAGTTACGACGAGGCTGGGGTGAAACCTTCCACCATTTTAAAGTCCCAGCCCATCCCACTCTGAAGGCCCCTTTGGCCATCGGTATGGGCACGCAGCGGAGCAGGCACGACGAGGCTGGAAGGTTAGATAGTTCAACACCTAAAACCCTGAACCCTAAACCCGAAACACCCCAAACCCCTAACCCCCTAAACCCTAAACACCTAGGCCCAAACCCCCCAAGCCCTTAAACCCATCATAGCTCCCCTCACTCAGGCTCCCGACAAAAGACGGACCCGTCTAGCTCAGAAGCCTACCTAAAAGGTCCTACTTTGCATTGCCGGACTGTTTTCAAAGAGTATTCTGGGACCTAAGCCCTTTCTTGAATTTCGTGGAAGCTCATGTAGGGTTTAGGGTTTAGGGTTTGGGGTAGAATCCGTGAGGCCCTCAGAATAGAACCCTTCAAAGCCAGTACAAGAGTGTCCCTTCCTGTCGGAAGGCCCCATTTGCTGCTGGCCTGTCCACACAGCGGAGTAGCTACAACGAGGCTGGCGAGAGTGATTTTGATCACGACACCCTTACTTATATAGATCTTCCCATAGTAAGTGCGGCAATAGCGATTGGGTTTGGGATCAATGGTAAACAGCAGTGATCCGAACATTGACGCCCTTAAGCCAGGGTTTTTATAAATCGGGGTTTATGTGAACCCCCTTAAACTGAACCATAAGACTTTAACCCTAAACCCTAAACCTCAAACCCTCAACCTTAAACCCAGTCCCAGAGACAAAGCCTATAGGTAAAGCCAAATCTGCAAACGCTTGGACCAAGTCTTTGGTTTAGGAGCTTGGGGCTTAAGGACTCTGGGGTGTAGGGCTTTTAGGTTTTATTGACACATCTCTCCAAGCCCTAAACCCTAAACTCTAAACCCTAAACCCTAAAGGCCTGAAGCATTTTAAGCCCCAAGCCAGATTCTCGGCCCTTAAACCCCCGAAATCTTGCAGTCCAACCCTACCCGTAGGCCCCAAAGTAGTTCCTTTTAGGGGTTCGTATATACAATCCTATAAGGTAACCCCAAAAAGG